GGACATCAGCAGCTTGGCCCTGGAGAAGGAATGCTCTGTAGTTCAAGGATCATCTGGTTAGTAAGCCAGTGACAGTTTGGCACTTGTTAGTGATTAAAAACTTGGTGATAAGACACCTTTTAAAAAGCTTAATTTCAGGGCTGAAGAAATGGCTCATCAGTAAGAGCACTGACTGCTCTTACACAGGACCCAGGTTCGATTCCCAGCACCCACATGGCAGATAACAACCATCTGTAATTCCAGTTCTGGAGGATCCAACGTCTTCTTCTGACCTTCACAGGCATTGCACAACATGGGTGTATTTACATATCTGCAGACAATACACTTGTACACAGGAAAAAAAAAGCTTATCTTCATCTGGCTCTTGTAAAATGTATCATGGCATGAAAACTTTATAACATGTGAGGATTGTACAGTCTTCTCTCTTACCTGAGATAGCCAAATAGGGTCTTCCTCTCAGTTGAGCAGATGGGTTCCTTGCTGATGTTTCCACGGCTCATAACATCTCACTCAGATGGTCATGTTGGAATATTTTCAAAATTAATTAATTAATTTTTATTTTATGTGTATGAGTGTTCTACTTGTGTGTATATAAGTGCACCATCTGCATGCATTGCCCATGAAGGTCAGGACAATGGATCCCCTGGAACTGGAGTTATGGATGGTTGTTAGCTGCCCTGTGGGTGCTGGGAGCTAAATCCAAGTCCTCTGTAAGAGCAGCCAGAGATGCTCTTAACTGCTGAGCCATCTCTCCAGCCCCCTGGAATATTTTTAAATTAAACTATTTATTTACCTGGCTTTCTACTGCAATAGCTTGAGCCCCTCCATTTTGTATAAGACATCTTGGTGAGATGTTCCAGTTGATACCCTGGCCCAGCGCTAGAAGCTCCAAGAAGGGCTGAGAAACACATCCATATAATCCTGGGAGGCTCTAGTTGACGCTTATCTGGCTTTTTTGATTGCTTATCTGGCTTCTGTAACTGCTTGCTCGCCCATCTACAGGAACAAACATGTGTCTGCTTGTCTTTGAGCAAATCTTGTACCAAGGAATTTATCTTTTACACTTTACTTTTAAAATTCCCATCCCCACCCAGTCACTGCTACATCCTCTAAATTGGTTCAGAGAGTGCAGTCACTGGCCAGCTAAATAGATTTGGCCGATTCAGAACTTCTTGAGATGGAGTGGTCTTTTCCCAGTGGTCTCAAACTTCGTAACATTACTGCTAGCTTACTGTTTAAAAAATGTTATTGAAGGCCAGTCATGAATTT